TAGAGAATTGAGTATCTTGTCCCTTGGACCATCTAAAGATTGTGAGATAGCCATATAACAAACTAGAGAATTGAGTATCTTGTCCCTTGGACCATCTAAAGATTGTGAGATAGCCGTATAACAAACTAGAGAATTGAGTATCTTGTCCCTTGGACCATCTAAAGATTGTGAGATAGCCGTATAACAAACTAGAGAATTGAGTATCTTGTCCCTTGGATCATCTAAAGATTGTGAGATAGCCATATAACAAACTAAGGAATTGAGTATCTTGTTTCTTGAATACACACATGCATACACAAAAGGATGGATCAATAAATCTGTAATCAAAAATTTATAAACTGAATTTTGATTCAAAATTTTAGTAGTAAAATGTTTGAACTAAGTGGAAGAGCATTGGATTAAGTGCATTGACACAGAAGGAGATTATGTTGAAAGATGAATATTTGCTGTGTCAAATAAGTGCTTTCTTTTCATCTTCAATCCATGAATTATTAACGAGTCTACTTAGAGGCCTGGAGCTAATTATATGTACCTAATATGTCAATAACATTAGCAAATATGAGAAAAGCAAAAAAAAAAAAAAAAAAAAAAATTAGAAAAATCAGGGCAGGCCTTAGGGAAAGAATCGTGATCAATCATAATCAAATGCCCAGAAAACAACAACAACAATTAAATGAAGCGTTGAAACAAACTTCTCTCCCTTGGATACAAATCAAAGATTTTTTTTTTATTTATTTTCTTTTCCCAGCAATAGAAGGAAAACATTTCTCCAATGAATTATGGCATTGAAATAAACAAAAAAGTAAAAAAAACAAAACAATATATTATCAATGTTTATTTCTGCAGGCTCGTCATGTAAAAATAGGGCACAACCTCTCTGCACTTGCTTGGTCACACAATTTCTACTAACCTGAGGTAGAAAACGACATTGAATCAATAGCTTCATCTACTGCAAAGAAAGTTGATTCTGTGTCATACCACAAGATTTTCTCACCTGAGTCTATCCTTCAAATCTACAAATCAACCATTCATCCGTGCATTGGTCCACCCGTTGTTCCTCAAGGTACTCAACAAAATCCAGACAGATATGCAATGTCATAGGTCCTTATCTGGCATCTCATCTACAGTCTTTTTCTCACAGATGTGATGTGGCTTCCCTCTTTCTTTTCTACAAATATTTTCATGGCAACTGCTCTGATGAGCAACTTTCACTGGTTTCCCAAACTGCATGAACTTAAGCGTGCCACTAAGTTGGCATCTTGGTCCCACCCTTTCACTGTCAAAACGGTTAAATGTAGCTACCTCTTCTACTCCAACAGCTTCCTATCTCACCCTTCCCAACAGTGGAACTCCCTTCCTCTTACTTTCTTCCCTGATAGCTATAATCTTCAAATATTCAAATGTAATGTCAATCAACATCTGCTACTGCCTTGATCTTGATCCCGGTCCTTCACTTTATCCTTTCCTCTCTTTACTCTTGCTCTCTGTAACCCCTTGTGTACTGGTGGCACTCCTGCCTTGCTTAGGGTGACATGCTTAAACAAAAAATAACAAAAGCAACCAAAATCAAATGCGACTGCAATCATTTTTAAGAGGCTAAGTTAGTAGCCCGATAAAATAAAAAGGCAAAGTCCAATTCAAAAAAAAGACAGATCTAGTTTGAGTGGCTCTTGAACCTTGTACTGTGTTAATTTCAGGCAGTCAGTTGTCAACCTACAAAATACAGGCAAAGTTTTCTTCATTGCTGATGGAAATTCATAACCAGTGGTAGTGACAATGCAGGAAAAAATTTGTTTTATAGTTTCTCTATCCAAAAATGTTGTTATGCTCCCTGCATCTATTGCATCATCCGTGCAAATATGTTTTGTGATGTCAACATTCATTGCCACTTTTGTAATGCTTATTGTAGTAGAGACTCTGTAATTGCAGTTGAACAATGCCGGTATCAAATGCTTTTGAATATCACTCACACTAATAGTACTTGCTTGATAATAATCGCTCGAATAGTAATCTCTATAGTGATCCAATAGAGAAATAGTATAGTGAATAATCTACTTATTATAAAACGCAGATTGTGTGTGTGTGTGTGTGTGTGTGTGTGTGTGTGTGTGTCTACGTTTATATATTGGATCGGATTTCCTACATTTTTCAACCGATTTCAACAAAACTTGACAGGACTGCGTAAAATTACCTTGCGGTGGTTCTGACAGCACCAAAAATTGGAAAAACACAATTGTTTTTGCACAAAATCAATTTGAAAAAATGATTCTGTCGCTAGAATGAAAGTGGGACAACTCATATTGTGTGTGTGTGTGTGTGTGTTCATTTATATATGGGATCGGATTTCCTACATTTTTCAACTGATTTCAACAAAACTTCATTTTTTTTTTGGCAGGTAGTGTTTCTTATTGTCTTGCACACTTTTTTCTTTATTTTTACATTCAGAATGCTTTAAAAATACCATTTACAAGACATTTGTTTCTAATAAAATTCTCTTCAATCGATAGACTCATAACAATTGAAAACAATGTTTTTCTTTGAGTTTGGGTTTGACCAATTCATAAAAAAAAAACAAAAACAAACAAAAAAAATAATTAAGACATGCGTGTCCGTCAACCTTAAACAATAATCTTTGTCAATTTTATTTTTCAGTCTTCATGATGGTCGATACTTGATCTATCTCTTACTATTACATCCCCGGGCAACGCCGGACTCTACTGCTTGTAGAGAATAGTGGTCTGTTTAGTTATAGAGGATAGAGTAGGAATAGTGGTTCATATAGGATAGACTAGAAAGGCAGATTGTTAGTCGTCATGTGACTTCCCATATATGTGTTCCCTCTATGGTCACATGGTCTACTTAATTCAACAATGTGTGCACCTATGTTTGCTCACTGGTGATCTGTGTTCAAACTCAAGTGTCGGAATCGACACTTTATTCCTGTATAACAATATGAATGGAAGCATAACTTTCAGAGTGTTCCTTGTATTATCCATCCATTGAGGAGGATGCTGAGAATGCAATAGATGGAGTTTGGGAGCAATGAGAAAGTTTTAAGAGGAATGGAACCAAAAAGGACGCTTGGCATCAGAAGGATACAGTTGAAATTTCTAGGGTACTTAATGAAGAAAGAAGGCTTGAAAACTTTGAAACTCACAAAGAGGGTTTTCATCATGATTTTCACTCTGTATAAGACCCAAAAGCCACTCAAGGTAGAAGTTTACAGAATAAGAGGCAAAGTTTAGAGGATATATAGGGAAGATAACAGTTGACCCTAAACTTGAACAGGTTAATATTGTAGTGATGAGGCAAACGTCCTATTAGGCATTGGTCTGTTGGAAGAAGCTGCTCAAGTGGAACTTATTTCTACCCAATGGAATCAGTCAGTCAGTTATGTGCCATGCATGATACACGCGTAGGCAATTATGTGTCTTTTGATACATGACTGACGAGGTAGATTTTTTTCCCATAGTAGGTTGCCATTTCTTTCTGTAGTAGACTAGTTGCCATCCAAGGCTATAGAACCCGAACTGTCTTGCTATTTACCTATAACTGGGGGAAGAAGAAGATTCATATCTTTCCCAAGGGTATTAGCATGAAAATGAATGTAATGGATTCAACTGGAAAGTCAATCAGTCAGTTATGTGCCATGCATGATACATGCTTAGGTGATCATGCATCTTTTGATAAATGACTGACGAGGCAGATTTTTTCCCTGTAGTAGGTTGCCATTTTTTTCTGTGGTAGATCAGTTGCCATTTAAGGCTATAGAATTTCGTCTGTCTTGCTATTTATCCATAGCTAGGGGGAGAAGAAGAGGATTCATACCTTTCCCATGGGTATTAGCACATAAGTGAATGTAATAGATTCGACTGGAATTCGAACACGGCTCTCCGATTCATCAATCCGAGCCGCTATTGAACCCGGTCTGTCCTGCTATTTACCCATAGCTTGGGGGAGAAGAAGAGGATTCATATCTTTTCCAAGGGTATTAACATGAAAATGAATGTAATGGATTCAACTGGAAAGTCAGTCAGCCAGTTATGTGCCATGCGTGATACACGCTTAGGCAACCATGTATCATTCGATACATGACCGACAAAGCAGATTTTTTTCCCGTAGTAGGTTGCCATTTCTTTCTGTGGTAGACCAGTTGCCATCCAAGGCTATAGAACCTGGTTTGTCCTTCTATTTACCCATAGCTGAGAAATGAAGAAGAGGATTCATACCTTTCCCAAGGGAAATATCATGTAACTGAATATAATGGATTCAACTTGAATTTGAACTCAACTCTCCAATTCCTCAATCCAAGCCACTATCCATTACACCACCATGCCTCCACCCCCAGTGGAATACAGTGGGGATACAGGTGGTACGCTGCAATACATGGTGGGTCCTGTGAAGGTTAGAACTGGTGGAACAAGGGAATTTTGGTTTTCTGAGCACTTTCCATGGAAGTAGAGATATAGTAGTAAGAGGCTTGCTGCATCTTGCCCGTGAGAGAGGCGTCGTAGGGAGGAAAATAATTCATCACCCACAAAGATACAGAGATGCTTTTGAACTCTGAAAACAGTACTTGATTTTAGACCTAATTTGTTTCTTGTAAAGGTATAGGGTTGCTGGAAAAAATGCTTAGCCAGTGGTAGTGATGACAATGATAAATAAAATTCTCATGATTGAAAACTTGCTCAATCCAACAGTGTGATCATGCTCCCTGCATCTGTGCTACTTGCCATGGAAATAAACAGAAGGCATTACTTTCAGAGCATCTCTATATTATGAACGAAGTAATAGTGTAATATTTCATAGTTCCATTTACAGGGTTCATTTTCTATGATACTAACGAAGACATTTAAAGATGCACATGTGTTCAAGATAGAGTTTCATTCGAAAAGTAAAATAATGAGGCTATATGTCTGTGATCATAAATGCCAGGATGTGAACTGGGAAGAAGAGAGAAAGAAAGAGATAGAGAGAGAATAAGATAGATATGAAGAGAATTAGTGTGTTGAAGGGAGGAGAGAAAGAGAAAATGAGGAACTGGATAAGAGAAAGAGAGGGAGATGAATAGGATGAAGAGAGAGAAAGAAAAAGGAAGTTGGTTGGCTTGAATAAGAGAGAGAGGGGGGGAATTTGATAAGAAAAAAAGAGGAAGATGCTTTGGATGAGAGGGAGAGAGAGGGTTGAATTTCATTTGAAAACTGAAACAATGAGCCTATATGTCTGATCAAAAAATCCAAGATAGGAACTGAAAAGACGAGAGAGAGAGAGAGAATCGGAGAGATATGAAGAGAATTAGAGAGTGTGTTGAAGGGGAAAGGAAAATGAGGAATTAGATGAGAGAGGGAGAGAGTTGAATGGTGTGAGGAGAGAGAAAGAAAGAAAAGGAGAGGAATTGGATAAAAAAAGCAAAAGGTGCTGTTGAGAGAGAGAGAGAGAGAGGAAAGAAGAATTAGAATATGAAGAGAATTAGAGAGTGTGTTGAAGGGGAAGGAAAAATGAGGAATTAGATGAGAGAGGGAGAAAGTTGAATGGTGTGAGGAGAGAGAAAGAAAGAAAAAGGGGGAGGAATTGGATAAAAAAGCAAAAGGTGCTCTTGAGAGAGAGAGAGAGAGAGAGAGGAAATCAGATAGATATGAAGAGAATTAGAGAGTGTGTTGAAGGAGAGGAGAGAAAGAGAAAGTAAGCAAATTGATGAGAGAGACTTGAATGGGATGAGGAGAAAGAAAAAGTTGAATGTGAGAAAGACAGAAAAAGGAATTAGGTTGATTCAGATGTGAGAGTGAGATATAGATGAATTCAAGTGAGGGGGAGAGAGATAATTTGAATGTGAGAGAGACAGACAGAGGAATGTAGGTCAACTTAGTTATAATCTACCCAAATTTTTTTTGTGAGCAGATATGATTGTTCGGGAAAGATCGAAGATTTGTTGTTTATAAGTAGTAATTTGAACTTTGCTAATCAGATGCTTCTCTGTAGCCGAGTGGTATAATACGTCAGATCAATTAGCAGTTTGGTATAGGACACAGGTTCAATTCCTGTCAGAGAATGCATATTATCTACAAAATTTCTTGAACATTCAGGGCGGTAAATGTAATTAATACTGTTTATTTAAAAAATGGACCATTTACTTAAATAAGTCATATCAATTAAAAATAATGTATAAACAGAAAATATATGAAATAATTGTTGAACTTAATCCATTTCATAATATCTTGTCAATTTTTACATTAAGGTATGTTTCGTGAAAGAAAAAGAAGAAGAAAAGAACAAACTAAGAGAGAAAAAAAAATCAAAAATAGGAAAAGAAAGTAACAAAGAGAGAAAGAGAGGAACAGGCAGAAAGAGTAAAGAATAGAGAGAGCAAGTGAGAAAGGAACAGAGTGAGAGAATGAAAGAGAAAACAGCAGGCTAAAAGAGATGAAAGAAAAAAAGGAAAAGGAAAGAGAGAAAGAGAGACAGAGAGAGAGTAAAGAACAAATTGAGAGAAAGAGAAAATAGAATAAGAGATAAAGGGAGAAAAAGCCAAAAAACAAAGGAACAGAGAGAGAGAGATAGATAGAAAGATGAACAGACAGAGAGAAGAGAATGAGAGAGAAAGAGAAATAAAAAACAGAATAAGAGAGATAAAGGGAGAAAAAGCCAAAAAACAGAGAGAGAGAGAGAGAGAGAGAGAGAGAGAGAGATAGAAAGATGAACAGACAGAGAGAAGAGAATGAGAGAGAAGGAGAAATAAAAAACAGAATAAGAGAGATAAAGGGAGAAAAGCCAAAAAACAGAGAGAGAGAGAGAGAGAGGGGAAACTGGCAAAGGGAATAAAGAACAGAGAGAGAGGGAGAAAAAAGGAACAAATAAAGAAAAAGGAAGGAATAGAAAGATAAAGACTTAGAGAGAGAGAAACAAGTAAACAGATAAACATTTTGAGATAGATGAGCAATGAGAGAAAGAGAGGAACAAACTGACAGAGAAAGAGAGTAAAGAACAGTGAGAGAGAGAGAGAGAAAGAAAAAAGAAACAAATTGAGAGGGAAGAAAGAATAGAAAAGACAGAGAAAAACAAATATAATAACAACAACAAAAAAAGACTGAGATAAAAAGAGAAATGAATAGAGTGAGATAAAGAGAAAAAAAAGAGATTCTATGAGATTATACTGAAAAATTATTGGCTCAACAAGGAAGCTCTCCTCCCAGTAAGAAAAAAATTAAACATGGTTATTTGGTTAGATTTTGGGAAACGGGTCAGGCTGAGGATTTTTCAGTACCCTTGAAAAGAGATTTGAACAGATCGAGAAAAAGGATGAAAAGAAAAATAACTGAGAGAGATGAATAAACAGAGAGAGAGAGAGATGAATGAACAGAGAAAGAGAGAGAGACATATGAATAAACAAAGAGAGAGAGATGGATGAACAAAGAGAGAGACAAAGATGAATGAAAAAATATATGAACAGAGAGAGAAGAAATATATGGATAGAGAGAGATATTAATAAACAAAGAGAGAGAGATGAATGAACAAAAAGAGAGGGAGATGATTGAAAAACAAAGAGAGAGAGAGAGAGATGAATTAAAAAACAGAGAGAGATGAATTAAAAAAAGAAATAGAGAAAGAAATATATGGACAAAGAGAGAGAAAGAAATATATGGACAAAGAGAGAGAAAGAAATATATGGACAAAGAGAGAGAAAGAAATATATGGACAAAGAGAGAAAAGAAATATATGGACAAAGAGAGAAAAGAAAATATATGGACAAAGAGAGAGAAAGAAATATATGGACAAAGAGAGAGAAAGAAATATATGGACAAAGAGAGAGAAAGAAATATATGGACAAAGAGAGAGAAAGAAATATATGGACAAAGAGAGAGAAAGAAATATATGGACAAAGAGAGAGAAAGAAATATATGGACAAAGAGAGAGAAAGAAATATATGGACAAAGAGAGAGAAAGAAATATATGGACAAAGAGAGAAAAGAAATATATGGACAAAGAGAGAGAAAGAAATATATGGACAAAGAGAGAAAAAGAAATATATGGACAAAGAGAGAGAAAGAAATATGGACAAAGAGAGAGAAAGAAATATATGGACAAAGAGAGAAAAAAATATATGGACAAAGAGAGAGAAAGAAATATATGGACAAAGAGAGAGAGAGAAATATATGGACAAAGAGAGATAGAGAAATATATGGACAAAGAGAGATAGAGAAATATATGGACAAAGAGAAAGAAATATAAGAAGAGAGAGAAGAAATATAAGAACAAAGAGAAAGAAGAAATATAAGAACAAAGAGAGAGAAGAAATATATGAACAAAAAGAGATAGAGAAATATATGAACAAAAAGAGATAGAGAAATATATGAACAAAGAGAGAAAGACATAAGAACAAAGAGAGAGAAGAAATATATGAACAAAGAGAGAGAAGAAATATATGAACAAAGAGAGAGAAGAAATATATGAACAAAGAGAGAGAAGAAATATATGAACAAAGAGAGAGAAGAAATATATGAACAAAGAGAGAGAAGAAATATATGAACAAAGAGAGAGAAGAAATATATGAACAAAGAGAGAGAGAGAGTTTTAGATAGATATAAATAGATAAATGGGTTAATATAATGCAAATATCGAATGGATAATTCGTGAATGTGAGAAGAATAGAAAAAAATAAAATAAATAACTGACCAACAAATCAATGATGGACAGAAGTAGCCGCAGGACTCCTCAACAGATAGCAGTCCCCCAAAGTGCTTCCACATTTTCATACAAAGCTCGCATAATTGCTCAGGAGAATACATATACAATTATTCAAAAACAATTTAAATAGAGAGGAAGCCACTTTTTATGACCACTTTGGGACTGAGGCTTTTCAATAACAACAAATAACTGATAACATTTAGCAAAGAACATAAAATTTGCAACAATTTGTATTTATTCATACAAATTTGCATTCAACGTTATTAAAATCATTGTTATAAATAAGGATACATGATGATAAGTGTGAGAAACTTTGATTCTAATGAGCTTCCATACTGTTATATGGCGGGGGAGTGCTTAGGGGTCTAGCTCAATCCCTGCACCTTTTGGTAGAACTCAGAACTAAATAGAAGATTTTTCTTCTTTGATTTGCAGGCTACCCCTAAAGTCTAAACACATAGAAAGTCTCATTAACTATATTTTTTTTAACCTCCTCAGATTAAACATGGTTTTGTCGAAAGAAGAAAGAATTGGCTTCTTTTTCTGGGATTATACTAAAGGAGGTTTACTCAAAGAAAATCACAGATGCATCACACTTAGTTGAAGGCATAAAGGGGGAATGTGCTAAAATTGACGGCAATGTGGAGTTATTGCACTGAGTTGACGTGAATCTTGCAAAGCGCATCGATCTCTGCATCAAAAATGATGGAAATCATATTGAAGATGTTATTTGTTAATATTCCAATTCAATAAAATGTTGCTGAAAATTTCTTGAAAATATGCATTTTTGCCTAGGGTGCCCAGACGTTAGGGATACCTTGTAGAATGATGTGCCTGTATCATTTGTCTAAAATATAGGCAGGAGCTGCCCAGTCTTCATTTTTCAACTTCGATAGTGTCCAAAGCATCTCCATGAACTTGTGGGTGATAAATTATTTTCAACCCTACAACCTCTTTCTCCACAGACGAAATGTTACAAGCCTCTTGCTGCTCTATCGTTACTTCCATGGAAAATGCTCAGATGATATACGTTCCTTAGTGCCATCAGTCTGGTCATCATGGTTAAAAACCACCATGCCATTGGATATTGCAGTGAACAGTCCTCATTCCCTTCATATTCCATTGGTGAGATGTAAGTTCCACTTGAACAGCTTCTTATTCTGAACCACTGCTTTGTGGAACCGAAGAGGATGTTTTCTTGACCACTACAATCTTAATCATTATCTTCACCACATGTCCCCATAAACTGTGTCTCTTACCACTTACTCTGTAACCCTCTACCTTGAATGGCTCTTGGGCCTTGTACAGGGTGAACATTATTATAAAAAAAAAAAAAAAGAAAAATTATTTCTGTGATTAACAGTCAAAATAAATTGGAAAACATCATTTTTTTTTTTTTTTCGTTTTTGGTTCCAAAAAAAAACTTTTAAACTTGTAAAACTTTTATATAAATTTGCTGTCTGGGAAAATGTCTCACTCCAGATATTTAAGGCAAAGCAATATAAAGCATATAAAATTGTGTATTTAAAATGAGAACGAAAAAAAATATGTTCATTTTATAATTTGATCAGATAAAAAAAATATCAAATTAGGAAACTTGAAAATTTAATAACAGATTAAGCCTTCACTCCCAACTTGTAACAACTAATTTACCCCCCCCTCCGCCGCCCAATTTTAACATCAGATTTAACCCTCCACATCCTTTTTGTGGGTATTTGTCTATAGGATGCAGATTAGCAACTCTGTGTGTGTGTGTGTGTGTGTGTGTGTGTGTTTATGTATATATAGATATCTTTAATCTGCACATCTATATGATAAATATGAATGTTAGTGTTTCACAGTGTCACTTTCTCAACTTTTATCCTAGAGGCTGTAGCACAACATATTTTGGAATCAGACAGACTCCATAAACAAATTAAAGACATTCTGGGTCATATCCAGACCTGCAATCCTGAAATTTTGGATTCCCAAGTTTTCATTACTGCAATTGTTTTTGGATTCCAAAATATTGGCTTCTACTCATAAAAATAATTAAAGGGACACAACTAATTAACTTTCAATAGCTCATGTTCGAATGAAAAAATTACTGTTCTCAAATTACAAAGTTTCAAAATAAAATTGTCCATGTTTTCAACTTTATTCTGAGAGGCCGTAGCCCAACGTATCATACCATTTTGGAATCAGGCCAACTCTGTGATGCAGACTCGCAATCCTTAAATTTTGGATTCCCAAGTTTTCATTACTGTGATTGTTTTTGGATTCTTTCAATAGCTCATATTCAAATGAAAAAATTACTGTTCTCAAATTAGAAAATAAAATTTTCCGTGTTTTCAACTTTATTCCTAGAGGCTATAGCCCAACATATACCATTTTGGAATCAGGCTGACGCCATAAGCAAATTAAAAACATTCTGGTCCAGATTTGACACACAATCGTGAAATTTTTGATTTCCAAATTTTCATTACTATAATTGATTCTGGCCATTTTATTACGTGATTTTTTGTGACAAATTTTTTAATAACAATTTTTATAACCTCGAAATAAATTTGGGAATAATAAAAATTAATTGCTAAATCCAGTGATCTATGAAATAGAAATTATTGTTTGTATGGGAAATAAGGACCAATGCACATCAAATTGTCTTTAAATTAAGTGGCGGCAGAAGAATTATCATTGAACTATTAAAAGGTAAGCTTAAATATTAATGCAATACTTAAATGCAGTAAGCAATTTTGAGTTCTTTTGTGGTTTATTGTTGTCTATTGCATATACTCCTCCCCACTTATTGCGATGAAGGCCTAACTGAGAACCTGCTGTAGGAGCTAACTCAAATGCTGCCTGATAGGGTGGCTTTGAAGCTAGTGTATATGTGTGTATATATATATATATATATATATATATATACAAATATAGATAACTATACTCGTTTCGAAAAACACTCAAATTTTTGATTTGCCAATAATCAAATCAATCTCGAGGGAAAAAAAGGTTTTAAAAAAAGAAAGAGCTACAAACATGAAAGTCTGTCGAAAAAAATCACACAGATACAGGTTTGAAGCCCAAAGAAAAAAAAACTCCGATCCGAGTAAACAACTAACTAAAAAAAGAGCTCAATACAACTGTAGAGCAGACCTAGATAAACCTAGTGAGCCAGACAGACCTACCTAGGTTTCACCTAAACGGATCGTCAGGGAAAGTCAATCCATTTCATTGACGATCCATTTAGGTGAAACCTAGGTAGGTTTGTCTGGATCACTAGATTTATCTCTCTCTCTCTCTCTCTCTATATATATATATATATATATATATATATATAGGATTTTAACCTGTGTCACCTAGGGAAAATTTCATCTAAAGTACATCAGATCTAATGATTTCAAGCTATGGTCAGATAGGTGTATCCAGACAACTTATGTTACACCTACTTGACCACAGCTCCATCAGAACCTATTTAAACATGCACACAAACTTACCAGACTTCATCCGAAACATAATAGTAGAAAATACAAGCATAATAACCTCATACACATGTAAAAAAAGATTAAAAATAATGGAAGCCTTAATAATGAAAAAGAAAAAGCCAACACTCAATAATATTAACTACAAACACGGCCGCAATATGCTGACTGTGTTCGGAAAATAAAACATCCCTATATCTCTAGAAACATACACACAACCCCTACATCCAATTAAAAAGCAAAAATAAAATCATCCTTGATAATGGCTAAAAGTATTGCTCAGAATTACAGGACAAGTGGACAGTTTCTACACACTCTGTGTCCAGAAAAGAAAACACTTTTTTGAACAGAAGAAAAATTAAATAAAAAGCATAATTGCAGTACCTTGTTTGTCAAATTTAATCAAATTGTTTTCTCCTCAATAGCAACAGATAGGTTTGCCTATCATTGGGTTCACACCCTAGGTTTTTGAACAGGAGTAGAGGCTTATCCCTTGTTCAAGATTGGGTGTCCTGATCCTTCTAAAGTCTTCCCATTCTCTTTCACTCCCAGTAGCCCCTTGCATCTTAGTGACATTATAACCTTGCTTGGGATGAAATGATTAATATATATATATATATATGCTGGACTCTCCCATAGCTTTTTCGACGTATGAGAGTCAAGCAATTCAGTTTTTAGGAACCAACAGCCAGACACCAGCACATATGATTTGATTATAGTGGTGAAGATTTTCTGCAGAACCAAACATACTTTTTGAAAAGCCGAAAACAGAGACCTGGTGCCCGACATGCCACAAGGTCCCCAAATGACCCTCCACAGGTTTTGAATTCAGAATTGTTCTTCTCCTAGACCAGTTGCCATCCAAGGCTATAAAACACAGTCTGTCCTGCTATTTACCTATAGCTGGGGAGAGAATATATATATATATATATATATATATATGATGTAATGAATATGCATACACCTGGGTTCCCCCTCACAGTAATATGATTGGCTGGTGTCAGCCATAAATACAGACTGATATAGCCTACGCCTATTGCCTACCACTACGATGAGGACTAGTCCATTATGGGTACCTGCTAGATTGTCCTACCCGGTTACAGTAAACAACCACTTTGCTACTTCGAACAAATATATCCCTTTTCGGGACATATCAATATATATATATATATATATATGATTAAGTAATTCATTGAGTCTAGAAGAAACCTCAACAGAATGCAGAAAGCACTGGTCGACCGTTTTGTCCTATATTTGGGACTCATCAGCAGTGTGCATCCACTACTGAGAATTGTTACAATATGAGGCAAACATCATACCAACTGTACCAACGGGCCTTGGTGACGAAGAGGTAACGAATTAGACTTGATAACGTGCAGCTCATTCACATATTCCATAGTAGTCGTGACTCTCAGGGACACAGTCCTATGGCTAAGGGAAACTTGGATGAGTTCCACCATGGAACATGTGATCAAGCAGTGCTATATTGAGTCTAATTCATTACCTATTCATTTTCGAGGCCCGTTGGTATGACGTTTGTCTCATATCGTAACTGTATGGGTTTCAATTCTTGGTAGTGAATGCACACTGCTGATGAGTCCCAA